TTCTTGAAGGGCGCGGCGGCGATGATGTGGCGCGTGTTCGGGGACGCGGCCTATGTTCTGGCCCTCCTCGACTCGCCCTCGTCCCTGCTGGTGACACGTGAGTTTGGGGGCGCGCGGGTTGCCCGCCGGGCCGGGGAGCCGCGACGAGTTTGATGCTGGGGTGAATGGGCTGCACCCCGACATGCATGCGCCGCTTGTTGGCTCCTGCAAGGCTCGCGACCTCGCAGGTGTCCGCATGCGGGCGTGTCGTCCTCATGCAGCGCTCGCATGGCGTTGGCTGAAAGCATGCACTTTGCATGATGGCATGCGCTTGCTGCAGGCGTGGGGGCTCTATATGTACCTGCGGCAACACCTTGCTGTTCGAGCTTGCAACGCATCATCCAGCGCCTCACCCTTTCCCTTCGCGCGTCCCCCACCCCTTCCACAGTGCCCACGTTGGTGGTTGACCTGCGCCAGCTGTCAGAGCAGCGGCGCAAGGTGCATGCACAGCAGGGCTCCGCACTCATCAGCCGCCTGGCGGCGCTGGCCAAGCAGTGCCCGGCGGCAAATGCGCCTGGGGACGCGGAGCCGGGTCCCGGCGGCGGCGTCGACATGGGCATCGAGGGCGGCGTAGGCAGCCTTGACCGCCGCGGCGCTGCGAGCAGCAGCGTTGCTGACGGGGGCGCGCTTGGCGCAAGTGTGGCGAGCAGCAGCCGGGGCAGCAGCGACGGCGGCGGCGGCGGCGGCGGCGCGGGTGTCTCAAGCGGGGGCACCAGCGGCGACGACAGCTGCGCCGTGAGCGAGTGCGGCGGCAGCGACAGCTGCGGCAGTGAGAGCGTCTCCGCCTGAATGGCAGCGCCTGGCAGTCGAGAGACAGCCAGGACGCAACAACCTGTACCCTAGGCGGCGGGGTGGTGCTGCTCCAGCCTGCACGTTGGCACTCCCCCGCCTCAGCACGTGCAATTCGCGCTTTGCCCCAGGTGCCGCGCCGGCGCCCATGTCGGCAGCCGGCGTCGGCGCCCCCTGCGGGGGCGGCCTTGAGGCAGCATCATCCCGGCTGAGCGTTCTGCAGAGTCAGTGGCCGGGCCGCGTGGTGTGGGCGGCCACGATCAGGAAGTCAATTCGCCTTGGCAGCCATGCGGCGGCCTCGTTTGTTGGCCGCAGTGCGGCGCCGACTCTGCCACCAGGCTGTGGTTTTAAGGAAATCTGTGGCTCCCCGGCCCAGCCCGTTTTTTGCAAGCATTTGAAACGGCACTTTTGCGCCCCCCCTCCTTTCCGCTTTGTGCGTCGCGTTTCGTGTGTCACCACAACGAACTTGGCCGAACCGATTGAGAGCGTCTGCACGCGTGTGCGGCTCCCCCTTAGGACCGCAGCACGATGCGGCGCAGGTGTGCTTCGCTAATTGCACGGGCCAAACAGGCAGAGGGCCGGCCTCCTCGCTGGCATCACAATAATCGACGCAAGCAGCCCGAGCGAGCGAGCGCGGCCCCGAGCTCCGGAGCCGCGCCGGTGGTCCTGGGCACTCCCCCATGCGCTGTTTCCGGGCTTCCTCTTGCCACCCCCAGCCAATGCACATTTAATTGCATGCATCGCTCCATAGGCAGGCGCGCCGCGCCGCCGCCGCGCCCAGACCATTGGGGCGCCGGCATTTCGTGTACCCATGTCTCCTTTGTTAGCACGCGCGGCTGCAAGCGCCGGGGCTGGCGCAGCAAAGAGCGGCGGCGGCGCGGGCGTGGCCGGCCGGGCCGATAGGGCCCTCCTTTGGTTCTCACTATGCTACCTGCCAAGGAGGGCCCGCCCTGTTTTTCACCTGCGTGCCTGCGACTCGAACGGGCCGCCTCTTCATTTTCTGGCCGCCTTCAGAATATCCTGATGCCCTGCCAGCAAAGTTACAACCGCCTTGAGTAAGTGCCGCAGCAGTATGGGCTGGCAGGGGTGATAGACGGAGGTGGCGACAAGCAGGACCCTGCTCAGGGCTGTTGTAGCACAGGGGTGAAGACGATGTACAAAAGGCGGGCCACGAGTGCTGGTTAGTCACCTGCTGGGGCTGCTGGCCGTCCTGGGTGCGCGGCCTTAAGGTTGTATGCCTCCGGGCGGCGGCGCAGTCACGGCGAGAGCTGGGCTCCCTGGTTCGGCAGCGGTACCCGCCACACCACCATGCCTCGACAAAACCGCCCATGGCCCCTCCTGCCGACTCAACCACCCCAGGATTTGCTGCAGCGGTGTGCTTTTGTATAACTCGATACAATCTACCAGTGGCGTGTAAGGCACATGCATCGCACTCACAAACGAGGCACCCCAGCTCAGGGCTCACAGATACTTCCCTGCCCGATGGCGCCGCCTCCTTCGGTGCCCGTGCCGAAGTCCTGCGGTGCTGCCAAGCAGCGAGCACATACTGGAAAGGCGAAAAGAATCAAATTTTTGTTCCTGAAGATTGCACCTGCTTTCTTGCTCAGGAGGCCAGTGCGAGTGCCACCCCCTCATCTCCTTGGTCGGGCACACATGTCCAGCCACTTCGCCCACTTGTCACTGTATATAATGGTAAATTCAAGTGCTGCCAAGTGCCTCGACATCACATTTGTAGCCTAGGAACAGGCACCGACCCAGCTGCTCACGCCCGGCCCGAAGGGAAGGCGCAAGTGTGTCTATATTCAGCATAAAACAAGTGTCTAATTGAGAACCCTGCAGAGGAAGGTCGTACCCGAGGTCCAGGTCCGAAGTTTTACCCCACCGGCGCCATCTGCAGCGCGTGTGAGGCTCTCAAGCAACGGTGAGCTGCGAATAAGGTTGCATTGTGGCGCGATAAATCCTTGATCAGCGTGCCCACGCACACGTCGAACGCCGTCAGGGTGCGAGCTGGTGGGCAGCGCTTGCCTCGCATCCTGCTTCGCGCCCGCTAGGGTGCAGCGCCGCTGCACCAGCAGCTGCGCCCTTGTGGAGTCGCGCTTGCTGAATACGTCCGATATCACATCTGGTGTCCACCTTGGCGTGGGCACGTCTCTGGCGCTCAACCACGAATGCGCACCCGCCATCCACGCCGGCCTCAGCCATCCGCGGCTCAGCCCCTGGGGCGAGAGGCCCGTGCACGCG